TTATTACCTATTTTTAGGATGTTTTCACTATAAGACTGTTACCAGGAGCAGAGATGCAAATTAATGCTTCAAACATGTTAAAAAAATCAATCTTTTATCTTTCTTTCTGTTAATTTTTTTTTGGCAGAAATTATGCTTATGCACAAAACAGATCCACATGTATTTGCACATGTATACCTTAATCGCCTGTTTTGTGAAAATTTGTCTATAGGGGAAATTCGCCTAATTGCGGACACTTTTTCAAAACCGGAAGTTTGGATACCGTCGAGGCCAATTGCGGACATACTGGTGGTTGCATTTGACAGGAGAGGATAGAGGGGTATCAAATGGACTATTTCCCGCGTTTTCAGGTGTCCTCTCTTGATTTGTAGATTGCAAACTCTTAAAACCCACGGAAATGCCGAGTAGCGTAAATGCGGACAGGGGGAGTTAAAATATGGACACCTTGTCGTCAAATTGCGGACACTTATTTTTAAACATTTCTTGCCGTATTCAAAACGCAGGTATTATGCATATATAACATAAGCTCTCATGAATACCCCTCAGGAATACCCTTTCAGTGCATCTTAAAGCATGTTTGAGAATGGTTTTCTCGCATTAACTGGTAATACATGTGGAAAGGTGAGAAAAAATAAGATTAAAAAAGTACATTAAATATCCTATACCACACCAATTATTAAATGATATAAGATGGTACTGACAACTTCCATCGGGATATTGTCTTCCAAGATGCATGCGTGCATATATACGAGATATAGTTGTGATAACTTTCAATTTCAAATCGTATGGCATTCATTGTAATGTGTTTTAATGTCCCAATCACTTAAAAATCCGTAGCCCTCACTCAAGAGCATAAGATGCCTTGAGGCGAGATTTTTTTATTTGCATTTTCCGATACTTATAAGATAATTTGATTAAGGCCCCGCCGAATGGCGGACGCCCTATAGTGATCAGTCTGTCCGTCCGTCCGGCCGTCCGTAACAAATTGTGTCCGCTCTATATCTAGAGAACCGTTATGATTTCAAAGTTTATATTGACATGTATATTAACCAACACCAGAGGGTGTGTCATAATTTATGTACAACTTCCTAGGTCAAAGGTCAAGGTCAAAAACTTTGGTTTTAGTTGACAACCCCATGTCCTATGGTAAAAATCGTTTCCGCTCTATATCTTGAGAACCGTTATGCTTTCAAAGTTTATACTTGACATGTATATAAACCAACACCAGAGGGTGTGTCATAATTTATGTACAACTTCCTAGGTCAAAGGTCAAGGTCAAAAACTTTGGTTTCAGCTGACAACCCCATGTCCAATGATATACACATTTTTTACCACACATTATTCACAGCGGGGCCCACAGAGATGGCTCCCATCTCAATGATATCTAGTTTATCCTCGGGTTTCTATGTACTCTTTGACAAACATGATTTTTTGCGGCCCATCCAACACCATGAACATCTGAAAACAGTTTATGGAATGGGTAAAAAGGCTTAATTTTTAAGAATTGTTAAATCAAAAATGGGAAAACGCAAGGTGTGAGGGAACATGCAAATTTTGTAAATTGGAATGTTAAAAAAAAAATAAGAATATGGAAAAATAGACACCAAAAATTTTAAGGAATTATGGAAAAGTCAGTATTATGTTTAGTTTTATATGTATTGTCTATCATTTGTTGTTTCTAATGTATTGTTCTTTTGTTGGGCAATGTATGACAAATATATGTTGAAGAACCTAGCCCGTAATTATAAATTATGTAATTCATTGACCGCTCCCGACATGTGTAACTTCAAAGCATAGTTTAGCGGCGATCGATGTCTTTCAAAATTACTGCACTTTTCTTGTATCCCTGGTGCTTTCGACTTGAGAACCGTCGTACACAAGCATCGCACAAGTTGGCACTCCGAGGCGGGTAGGGAGCAAAAAGGTGAACTTTGGTTTATTTTTATCAATAGTACCGCTTAAGTCGACGCTAGGGGCCGTCTTGACCTTGTAGGATATGAATGATTCGTTTATTGTTGAAGACCCTACTTCAACTGTCAAGATGAAGAACAGGAATAAAAGCCCTGTTCATTGATAACTTTTTATTTGTTTCTATGCATTGTTTGCGATTTTGTCCCATGTACATTTACTCTATATCCTTTATTTTCTCTTATGAATACTGACCCATGTCACTCCTCATTGAAGGGTCTTGCTGGCTTAAGTCCAATATCTCGAAAATATAAAGTAAACAAAAAAATGAAAGGGAGCTTCCCCTAATGTTACTAAGTGTTGTGCTAAAATTTCTTTTAAAATCTGTCGGAGTAAATTTGAGTTATCCTACGACATAGAAAGTGTAGACGGACGGATGAAAAGACGGGCAGAGTGATTACTATAATAGGGCACCCGCCAAAAGTCGACAGGCCATAATAAAGACGTAGTGCTGGAGATTGTGGTCACGCATGATGATACGCTATTGGCGTTCGTTGCATTTCGTCACATATATACTTTTTTCTATATAATGCCTGTTCTCTGACAAATAATGACATCGGATTTTATCCGACTGGCGAAAGGATACCAGCGTGTGTAGAACATGCATACCTAGTTCTGTGCCTTAGATGAAATGTCTAACATGAGAAAATTACCGAACCAAATATGGAAGATGCAGGTGATATAGTTTCACCCGAGGAGGAGGATGAGGACGAGGAAGAGCTTATCAAAACTTTTTAGATATTAAATAGTTACATTTGAATTGTTATATGATTACAAAGCTTTTAGTTTATGATTATTTCATAACTAAAGAAAATAAGTGTTTGATTACCAAAGCAAATATTTAATGATTATGTGATTATGCTGGCAAAAATTTGGTGATTATGCGATTACTGGTATCTCCCCATGAGGGGCCTCGTTTGTTTTTCGATTTGCCACAGACGGATGGACAAACAGACAAAGAGGTCTTTAAAACCAATGTATTAGTTACATTATTTCTATCATGTTTTGAAAAGTTTTATGAAAACATTTCTTTCAAAAGAATATTCGTGATATCAATAATTTCATCTGTTTCTTCCGCAGTACGAATGTCCAACTCTTTACCTCTTATACTTGATTTTCTAGCAATAAACACAATGCTGCTGAATTCATTTCCCTTATCACTTTTCGCATAGTAGTATTGATACATATTCATGTTTTGATAAACGTATTAATTTCATAAATAAATAGCCAATAACATCATTGTCAAATAGCCACTCGTCCACGAGACATTGTTGCAATTTCATTCGGGTGATTGTTTTCTGTACATTTTATTTCATTCCATTTGCTTTCGCAAAATGTCCTAAACATGTAGACATTCTGTAAAGAAAGAGAAATAGATTGGCTTGCCATCCCGGGGATGACGTTTACAGTTTTTGACCTATTGAAGATGTGTGCAAGTTGCCAACTGGAGTGGAAATCAGACTTGTAAACGCATTATGTTCGTAATATGCAAAATGAAAGCAAATCAAATAAACCCAAATAAAAACTTTATTGATATAAATGTACCGGATTGAAACTAATAATGCTAGATTATAAGAGAGTTTTGTTTATTTCCGAAATCATGGTATTGATATATGCACCACTGCACGTGTTAGTTGTTCAAAATATCGTGTGTCCGCATTTCGGCTATCATATTTTTTTCGGTGGTGAAAATGCGGACACTTGCTTATTCCTGTTTTGTAATCAAAATTTAGACAAATCAGTAAAAATAATTAAAAGAAATGTTTCCTTGCATAAAATACGCAATGCCTATCGCTTTTCAACACATAAATTGCCATTCTTACATGAGCAACTGTGTATTGAATGTGACACGCTGACTTTGGACCTTTTTCAAAAATTTCCGGTTTTCAAACTTGTTGACATCAGCTATTTATAGCATGCAATTTCAATCACATGACATAAAAGTAAATCGTAAGCAATAGACATAATAACTTTATTGCAACAAAAAAGAGATTCAATTGTAAACAAAACACCTTATTTCTTATATCTATTTTATTTCAATTTTTCATAATTTTATTGAAAAGTGAGATATTCGTTTTCCGTCCGCATATCGGCGCTGTCCGCAATTAGGCGATTTTCCCCTAATTTAAAAGTTTAAAAATATCTTGAAGCTCCATACTATAATAAAAGTATCAACATGTAAAATGATACATACTATATTCCACGATTATGTCACCTATAATCGAGATCACTCTGTATTTGCGTCTTCCACTACCTCATGTAATAATACACAAGTTTTGCATGTCGTTATCAGACAGTCAATATAGTGTTTATTTACATATATAAGAAGAAAAAAAAAATTTAGTTATACACCTGCATCATACTTTTAAAGCCCATAGAAACTGATGTAAACATTTCAAATATACCAACTTGACCATTTATACCTTCTCTAATAAAGAGTTCCATTTCTTTTGTTTTAAGTTACAACTGGATATCAGCCTGTAAGCCATACATTTGACAGTGGAACTGTTATGTGCAATGTATGTAAGGATTGTAATGATGTCATGTGGATAAATTTACCAGTTTTCAAGATCATAATTAACAGTGGGTCATCCTTACAATGACTTCCATTTTCACGATTGAAAATATAAGCTGGCATAATGGGAAGATAATTTTGACGAAGTAGAATCCGGACTTAGTCCTATAATCATGATAATGATGATAATATAAGACTTCTTTGGTCCATATCGTTTGCATTCAACCCGAAAAAAACATGGTCCAGCATTTGATAGTACATGCATGACATGTAATAAAAAATATCTGATAAAAAACATTGAATGCAAACCACGGTCCAGCATTGATAATAAAAAAAAGAGTCTGATATACAACCAAGAATAGTCATGATGATGAGTGACAATAATATGTGAAGTACAGTATTTACATAATGCGTTTTTGACCCTTATAATGGCCAATGCAGTTGTGCGTACGACAGTTACTCAATAGTTTATATATGTGGGATTGTGTATTGTGAAAGCTGAATTAAAAAGTATTACACATTTCACTTGTCTTCTAACACCTTCTGTGAATTACGTCATCATAAGGTGTGTACACAACAGGAAATACTATTTTTACCTTTCTTGGTTTGTTATTGGTCAGTGTTTGGAAACTCGCCTGTCATTCATGTAAATATGGATGCAATCGTAAGAAGATATATCAAGTTTGATTAGTTTACCAGAAGGCAAAAAGCAAAAAAAGAACTTGAGACTACTTTAAATTACAACAAAGCAGTTCTGTTGTATAAATGGAAGCTTGATATTAAATAATAAACAAAATTTTAAAATAATAGTATTCTAATGACTCTAAATGGAAAGCTGAAACTAATAGAACACAGCTAGTATAAATCTCAGTGGAAAGTCACACTGCAAGTGTAATTATTTTAAATTAGAAAAATGAATACCTGGAGACCGTTAAATCATACTGCTATCTTGGAATTAAAATCATTTGAAACTTTACAGGCCAAACTAAGTCCTTCCAATGGAATTCTTATGCAAACAGACACTGAGAAGGGCTTGGTTTGGTTGATATATGTTTAGACGGATTCTGACCCCTTTGAACATCTACCGCCTATAAAATTTATAAAAAGCCTTAAAATTTTAGGAGGGCAATGCAAAATCACAAATGTTGCTTGTCTAGCAGAGAAAAACAGACCTAATCTGCACTTTAAAATTCAACTGTCAGCTATAAAGTTTCTGAATCCGAATCATATTCTAAACTCTCCTATAATAAACCAAGGAATTGTATATTTAAATATACTATTCCTTGAATAAACTGATGCATCATAGGATGGGGATTTGTCATATATCAACGTCAGGTCACTCTGACCTTGATGATTTGACCTTTACCCATATGAGAGTAAAACATTGTCTGATATGTGATTAGTGCATAACTGTAGCACTAAGATTGACAAAACTTTGTATGCAGAAGCATCATACTGACCTTAATTTTATTTAATTGATGAATTCACAATATAAAAACCCCAGACAATAAAAGTGAGACTTTGTTTCCTGGTCAGTATAGATCAGTATAATTCTTTCAGATTGACCTGTCAGTCTAACACAGAGGCAATGATTATATAAAACAAGTTGCTTTCTTTAAAAAAAGAAATGCAATCGTAAACCCAAATGCTTGTTTGGCATTATATATATAAGATAATTGTTTAAAAAAAAAAGATTTATTGTTTTATATCATTTTTGTTATATAAGAATTAGAAACTGACAGTGACTGTTTACAATACTGTTCAATGTGGGGTGAAATATTCTTGTTAAAGGAATATTTTTTTCTCTCCTCTCTCCCGAAAGTTCTTAATAACTTTGTGGTACCACCTCCTCAGCAGAGATTATATACATTCATTTATTATTGTAACAATATTTTCTTTTTATAATGGAGGGGATATACAGTTATATATATATATAATGTTTATAAATGTGGTCAGATTTTGTTTGTATGTTTTTGTATTGTCTTGGTAACAATCCTATAGTTTTGGATTTTGAACCAATAAAATTATCTTATATCTTATCTTAACTCCCGAAAGACATCATGTTAAGTCACCCACTTGATGTTCAATTCTAAGATGCTGGTTTTTGTTTTTAACATGCCAAGAAATCCTCGCTAAAAATTCCGGTGGACCTCCTACGGCACCTATTAGTAGTTAAAGATTTGATTTCATTCAACAAACTAATTTATGACCTGCAAGTACGTGTCGCTTAGAAAACGGCCATATACCAAATGGTCAATATTAATCATCCATGTAATTTGCTCTATGGGATGTTTGCAAAATTTCAACGGAGGCAATTTCTTGGCATGACGAGACAGCATCTCAGCGATAAAAGAATATGTTTGAAAGAACTATGCACTTGGCTACCTTTTTTTCTTCAATTCGTTTTTAAAACGTCTTGGCTTCTTCAACTTGAATAATAGAAAATAAAACTATATATCAAACGAAAACTGGATAAAGTGAGAAACAAGTTTCTTTCATTAGTGAAAATTACTGCTTCATTGCTTTATCTCAGAGTTCGAACCCTACACGTGGTAGCTTGGTTCGACTCCAATCTTAATTGACTAGGATTGACAGTTTCCTTGCCGAAGGTCAGTGGTTCTCTCCGGGCGTCCCAGCTTTCTACACACAAAAAAACCTGGTCACCATGAAATAGAAAAATAATGATAAAAGTAGCGTTAAAGACCAACAATGAATACATCAATCATTGTATATCTTAGACGTTTCAAACACATCTCGTAGTTTTTTTAAACACGAATCTATTTTTTTTAAATTGAATTTGACAATAGCAATTTTCCCGCATCGTATAATGGTGAATCCAGATAACACTGTAATATGTGCCGTTGGACATGAAAAAGCTTAACCTCTAATAATTTTGAATAACTAGGAGAATAGATGAATTTTAAAGCAGAACTATTTTAAATATTTGTCAGCTATTTTAGGGGAAAGCAATAAGTATTGAGCAGATATTTCAGATTTCCGAGGATAAGGCAACATTAAAGGGACCTGACTTTAAAGGTTGGTGTGTCCATCATATTACATATGTGGCAACCTTTTGTTTAAGGCTTTAAACAAATTAAACTTTTCAAAGTTATTCAAGTTCCATTACTAACTTAATGTCGACACCTTATAATGTAGAATATCTATTTTAAACAGAAAAGGGTAATTTCTATGTCAAAAGATTGCAAAATTTCTGAGAATGAATAGAACAGTCCCTATTCGAATGCAGCATTCGCTAACTTAGTAGACATGTCTTTGACAAGCAATACTTTGAACCACTGACAGTGTCTTTAACGATCCCATGCGCAAAAATGACAAAATTAAAAAAAACAGAGTATTGTCCCTGCTAAACTGAAGAGTGTAGGTTTCAGCTGGAGAGTTCCCGATGAAGACATTTTTTTTTCAGTTAAAAAATTTGAGGTACACAGTCTACAAAATGAAACAAAAGTTGAAAATATGATGCTCGTCTTGGCGTATACTCAAAAATGTACTTGTTTGGGACTGCTTAGACATGAAATGATGTCACAAGACACATGCGACCAGTCACGGCTTTTATAGAACGAGTTGCCCCCTCAATCATACACCTTTGACACATAGTCCCACAATACCCTAATGTTCTAAAGCATAATAAAAAATATCTTAAAATCCACTATAAAAGAAATAACATAACTAATAATTTTAACCATAAAATTTTATATGAAAAAAAACCCCACAGATATTAAAGTTTACATTCATTACAAATGACAGGAACTATATTTGTAGACAATCGATTACGAGCGACCAAACAGGTCATTTTTGAAAATCAGATCATTTCGTCTTTTTCTATTTAGTTCTTTGAGTCTCTTTTTTGCTTTTTTTTCACTTTATTATTCATGACATGAAAGTTTTAACCTTAACTTCATGTTCTAAAACATATACGTGTGCATTGTGCTTCAATGAAAAAATATGGGGTAAACGTCAATGAGACAGCCACCTAGTGACAGAAATAACCAAAAGACATGTGCTCGGTTTGACGGTAAACCAGATATATGCGAGATTCCCTCACGTGATAAAGGAAGAAAGATCATTCACAATTTGTCTTACATTTGTTTTTCTCTCTTTTAATTAAATAAAAAAAAAACTTTCGAATGTTGAGTTCATAAGATAAAAATATTCCCTGTGGAACCCCCCCCCCCCCCCTCCTTTCTTTTTTTGGTGCTCTCCAATTTCAACCCCCAAATAAGGCTTTCCAATCTAATTAAAATTAAAATCTTGCTTTCTAACCAATCTATTCATGTACCGGACCGGGAACTTTCTTTATTTAATAAGAAAATCTACAGTGCCGTTATATAAATGCATGTTGTCTGCTTGGAGTCCCCGCCCGAAAAGAAAGAAATAGCCTAACTCCAAGATACTACATTCCTGCATCACGTGATTTTTGCCACGTGGAGCTTACATTAGAATGAATACCGAATATGGAAAGTGAAACTACAGTTCAAAACATAAAGTCCGAAGGCACATAGAAGAAAAAGAAGGATTTTTTTTTTCAAAGGGTGCCGGGGTAATCTTCTCTGTGTTCATAATATACACGAAATATTTGCCACTGCCCCTTGTCTGTTCTATAAATTGGAATCCTGAGTTTTCTATCTGTTACATGCCAAGAAATCCTCGCTAAAAATTCCGGTGGACCTCCTACGGCACCTATTAGTAGTTAAAGATTTGATTTCATTCAACAAACTAATTTATGACCTGCAAGTACGTGTCGCTTAGAAAACGGCCATATACCAAATGGTCAATATTAATCATCCATGTAATTTGCTCTATGGGATGTTTGCAAAATTTCAACGGAGGCAATTTCTTGGCATGACGAGACAGCATCTCAGCGATAAAAGAATATGTTTGAAAGAACTATGCACTTGGCTACCTTTTTTTCTTCAATTCGTTTTTAAAACGTCTTGGCTTCTTCAACTTGAATAATAGAAAATAAAACTATATATCAAACGAAAACTGGATAAAGTGAGAAACAAGTTTCTTTCATTAGTGAAAATTACTGCTTCATTGCTTTATCTCAGAGTTCGAACCCTACACGTGGTAGCTTGGTTCGACTCCAATCTTAATTGACTAGGATTGACAGTTTCCTTGCCGAAGGTCAGTGGTTCTCTCCGGGCGTCCCAGCTTTCTACACACAAAAAAACCTGGTCACCATGAAATAGAAAAATAATGATAAAAGTAGCGTTAAAGACCAACAATGAATACATCAATCATTGTATATCTTAGACGTTTCAAACACATCTCGTAGTTTTTTTAAACACGAATCTATTTTTTTTAAATTGAATTTGACAATAGCAATTTTCCCGCATCGTATAATGGTGAATCCAGATAACACTGTAATATGTGCCGTTGGACATGAAAAAGCTTAACCTCTAATAATTTTGAATAACTAGGAGAATAGATGAATTTTAAAGCAGAACTATTTTAAATATTTGTCAGCTATTTTAGGGGAAAGCAATAAGTATTGAGCAGATATTTCAGATTTCCGAGGATAAGGCAACATTTAAGGGACC